CTTCTTTATTCCTTAAAAAAACTTTTGAACGTTTATGATTTATTGTCGTATCTTATTATTTGAAGATTAACCTGCTCGGCAACGCTAATGTATTAGCTAGCAAAGAGGAATTAACACGACATTACATCAAAGTTATCAACGGCAAGTGTTAAATATAGTGTTTTACACCACAGTTTGTCAGTGGGAAAATAAAAAACACACACATATATATATATATATATATATTTATTTTGTGTGTGTGTGCTTTTCTCAGTCGGAGACAGACAACCAATTCTTTTTGTCTTTTAAACCAGAAAGACGGCTGACAGATCTAACCGACACTCGCGCCACAGAAACTAATTTAACAGGTAGACAAACCCGCCCATTCACTATATTACAATAACTTTGAACTTTTTCTTAATCGTTATTTATGATCCGCTTCGTCAGTTTCATCTAGCATATCCATGTGATGCTAATTAAGTTTACTAATGCAGCCGAAGCCCCGGTAAACAAAGCGGCTCGAGGAGCATTTATGATGGCTGTTTTGCTAACGTTATTTACCATTTCAGACTGATATTTGCGCCTCGCGTTTTTTTTATTCGAAACTCATACTTGCATATGTTTTTTAAATCAATGTTTTTAGAGCAAAGGCAGCATGGAGTGCTGGGATGTCAAAGGCAACAAGATGTCTGCAATACTACGAGCCTAAAGTGAAGTAGAATTCACATTGATTTAATTGATAGGTTTTAGTGTTTTGCGAGATGTAAACCATCATTTTCTGAAAGGTTTAAGTACATTTCTTCATTTTTGGATTAATTGCTATTTTTGCAAATGTAGCAGCACAAATGTGTCTTCTGAAGCTTTTTGCAAATGTAGCGGCACAAATGTGTCTTCTGAAGCAGTACAATATTTTGGAATGAAATTTAAATCTGAACATTGATCAACTCATGCATACACAGCCCAGACAAATACTGGTTCTTTCACACCACGTGAATTACATCATGATATCCAAGGATCAGTGATGTTTGATGTAATGTAGTGTGCCACCATTTTTGATTCAGACTGTATTGGCAAAATGAATAACATATTAAATTTCAGTTTGTCTTTCATTCAGAGTCATTATGCTTCAGAAGAATACGAGTTGGGTCTTGAAAGTTCTAGTTATAGTAGGCTTTCTTAATATGGATTACAAAAAGTATTTTGTGTTATATTTCCACTTGCACTTATCTTAAAGTTGCTTTGGGTTTGTATAAAGGTGTGTTGATTTATTATTTATATTTATTAAATTATATTTATTTGGATGTTTTATTAATAAAAATTATATTTAAACTCGAGAACATTCAGCTGTAACACCCCTGAAAGTTTTTCCCAATTAAATCCAGTTGACCGACAGCTCTGGAAGACAAGTTGTGAAAATTACTACAAGTTTTTTAAAAGTACTACAGGGTTTTAAATGGGCACATGTCCTACTGAATAAACACTACTCTGATCCTTCACACCTTTATTTTCATTTATGAAAATTTAAATGTGTCTTTCCACACAAGTGTTAATTTTATGATTTGTTGTCACATATACCAACACTTTTTTTTTAATGCATTTAGAAAAAGGAGCCTGAGCAGGAGCAGAAGGCAGCAGTCCCCATCATTGCTGCTGAGGAGGAAGAGGAAATGTCACGAGGGAACCCACTGGATGTTTTGATTGTCTTTGAAGACGGAGAGGTGATGTCAACCAAGTCTAGGGTCAGTGCACTGCTGCTGCTTTTGCACTTTATGCCCTTATTTAGAGAACACTAACTTCTCAAAGCAGCTTTACAGAAAATGCATGTGTCTACATTACAATTCAGCCTGATCTGTACTATACATACTATACTTTTCAACTTGAATAGTGTTGTATCATGTGATTTAAAGTGATGCTATATGGGTGTACTCACTTCTGTTGTATACTGTATGTTTGACTAATACACTGGAAGCAATATTGACGTGACATACTGATACAATTCCTCACCGCTAATCATGATGTTCATTCTATTAAGTAGTACGGGTTTAATACAGGAGATTTACAGTCGATGTAGTAAAAAGAAAAAGTTGTATGAACATGCCCTCTGACCTTACCTCTTTTACTTTGAGGTTAGTTTCCACACACAAGTACATCTGATGTGTGAGCGGCCATCAGGCGCAATTGTAACAAAGAGCAATTCTTTATAGAATTGCAATATTTTTTGGACATGTATAATTTAAAAT